ACACACACACACACACACACACACACACACACACACACACACACACAGCCATTCATTGCAGTGTACAATCAGTCCATTGATGTATGTGGAGTTTTCCTAACACATGTTATGATTTGGTGTCCTTGGGGCAGGATCTGGCACAAGATCCTAACAGTTGGCTCCTTAGGTACCAGGAAAACTTGTGCCTGTATCTTTGTGATAAGTATTTTGAGGACAGAACCAGCCCCGGGAGGATGGAACCACAGAGGCTGATTATCATGGATTCCACATACTTAGACTGCTCAGCATGTGATACTGTTTGTTCTGGACTTCCCTATACTCAGGTACAGCAATTGGAAGCAAAGTGGGAAAGGCAGCCCATCTCAGTAATCTTACAGGTTGTGGAAATGGCCCCCAAGTTGTAAGATGTACAGACTATTTCTGCAGAGTCTAATAGGCCCCACCATGTTCATGACATGAAATAGAGTGCTTAAGCAATTAGAATGTGAGCTCCTTGAGAGGAGGAACTGTCAGGTTCAGAAGTTTTGAGAAATCAAAAGGGATAGCACCTCCCTTTCTTCCTCCAGACTAAAGATTCACAGAAGTAAACAACTCTTAAAGTAGCAACCCTGACAAAATTTGCAGATTAGCTGAACTGGCCACTGTTCCTATCCAGAGGAAGCTTCTGTCCTTTGAGGAGATGTTCTGTGTACAGAGGAGGACAGTGGTATGATGGACTTAGGAGTCAGGATAGACGTAAGTGAGCTTTGCCTCAGATACTAGCTGTAAGACTAGTTATTTAATCTCTCATGGATTAATTTTTTTTGTAAAATGGGAATAGTTATACAAGATCATTTTGAGGAGCAAATTAGATAATGTTTATAATGTACTTTTTAAATCTTAAAGTGCTCTATAAATGTCAGTAATACTGAGTAACCTGTGGTTCTAGGGTAGATAAGCATTTTTTAAAATTCCAATTTTGATACCTTGCCTAAGGTATTTTACTTTTTTGATTGTCCTTTTTAGTTCATCCAGTGGGATGCCTTGGAAAAGATGAAGGTAGCAGCTATTTAGGAAGTTGCAGTTGGTTGATCTATCATGTGCGTGTCCTACCAGGACAAGGCCTGTTCCCAAATAGCTGACTAGGGAGAGAATGTGAATATAGGGGAATACACTTAACTGGTGTTTTAACACGAAGAAAACTGTCTTCCAGAACAATTTATAAGGAAGGCTGTTAGCCATATCGTTCCCTCCCAACTGGCCATTCAGCATTAACTTCATCATTCTCTGATACAAAGAGATTGTTGTTGGGTCCCCAGAGAGACTGGTGCATTTGGTGAAGCAGCTGGTTTACGATGCCAGTCTGAACTTGGCACAGCAGCTTTCCAACCCTTCCCTATCTCAGCCCAGTAAGAGTTCTTTATTTGCCCACCTGACTAGCAGTGGGAATATAACTGCAAGGGTCTTGTTGCTAAGCAGCCAGGCATGAGGATTGTGTCCTTTTCAGGTTGGATGAATAGCGGCAGTGTTCTGAGGACCTTGGAAATTTTGGACTGTCTTAGAATTCTGAGGAGGGGTTTGAGGAAGGCAGTAAGATACAGATGGTGCTGTCTCTGTAACATAGTGCCATGGTTTGGGGAAGGATTTTGGTGGCCTGCCTGAAATTCAAAACACATATTGACATACTGCTACTCCACCAAGCTAGAACCTAATTGATCTCTCCTTGGATATACTGCAGATTCCTCTTGAAGGCCTCATCTCCATAGCTCTTGTATAACTGCCTTCACATCACGGCCCTCCCCCAACAAGAGGAAGGGAGAAAAGGGAAAATTGTCAGTAATTTTCTTCGGACTAAGTTTCCACCATTCTAACCATTAGCATTTTAGGGCATACGTTGTATCCCTGCAGTCATTGTCTCTTAAGTGCATGTGCAGTGCGATAGCCCAGTTATATGCACATTGGGTTTGTGCTGTCCATCTTACAGATGAGGAAACGTGCCAATAAAGAAAAGTACTTGCTTCCAGGATGGACTGTTCACCACCGGAAACATGCCAGGACATGATGATATAGCTTAGGGCTTGGACTGTGCTCTTTTCTTTCAAAACCTCTTTGGGATAAAGAAATTACTTTGATACAGTAAAGTGGAAAAGTGAGGTCACAAAATATTTTGTTTAAAAAAAAGACAGCAACTTTTTGGGAGCAGTTTTTTTGTTTTGGTTTGTTTGTTTTGTGTGTGTGTGTGTGTGTTTAGTTGTGTGGCTCTTTTCTTGGTACAAAATTGTTTATTTTTGTCTTCCCAACGTCCTAATGCCTATGGTAACTGTCATGGTGGTCTTGAGCAGGCTCACCAGGTTCCAGCTTCCGTGACGTGACGTGACATGACATGCCCTGTACAGGGTGGTAAAAGTCCAGGCAGGCCACCCCAAGAGCCCAAGGGAAAAGAAAACTGGTGAGAGTGAAATTGGTTTCATTGGTCGTGAGTCGTTTCTTCTTGATGCTAGTTTGTATCTGTCATTGCTGGAAACATGATGTTAAACAGGCCAGAGCAGTAGTTTGTCATCCAAATGTAGGTGGTGAAGGAGAAAGAGCACTGGAATAGTTGTTAGGGCATGAGCCTTGACACACCAAGCAGCTTGGTTTTTCACTGTACGTGTTCCATGTAGTATTTTTCACTTTCTTTCCTCCCTTGAAAAGTATTGTGCCATATCAGTGAACACTAATGTAGCTATTAAGAGGAAATGTCAGCCCCAAATCTTATCTTCCCTTGTTTTTGTTTCTCTCTTGCAGGAGTTTTCAGAACTGGAAAAGCGAGATCCCCAGGAGCTGGTTGGTATGTGTTTGTATTATATACATTCTGGGGTATAAGGAATTTTATGTTGGGGGATGAGCAGAGAACAGTGTAGAGAAGAAATAAGCTAGGTTTTAGACATTTAGGGTAAACCTCTGCTTGATACAGGTATTTCTTACTCTGTCTTAAGCGGCCCCTTTGAGATAAGTTTTGTATTTAGCCTCTTAATAGTCTCCTTCCACTTGGAATTTTATAGCATGTGTGAGACATGAAAAGAACAATTCTCATGTTGTATTCATGGAACAGTTTGTCAGCCTTTGGTTAGTTGCCAGTTCTATCAGGAGAGGAATCAGAGTCCCATTTAACCAAAAGATTTTTCTTCCTCTTTGCTTCAATTCCCCTTGTGTCTTGGGCCAAAACCCCTGTCTTAGACCCTTCTTATTGCCTTTCCCCTCCTCTCTAGCCTTATGTAGTAGAAATTGTTCAAAGGGTAAGCATGTGGCCTCTTGCACCAGCTATACCACTAAAAGAGGAAAATGCCTTAGAGTCAGGAACCCCATTGTGAATGGAGAAAACATACTATTATATGTCCAGAGGACCAGAATGAAATATGTAGGAGTGTACTAGGGCCCACACAATCTAGTCTATGCATCTTAGACTTTTGAAAATTCTAAGACACCAGTTTAGCCATGAGCCGTCTAAGAGCTATACTAAATATAGGTTTTTCCAGGTATGAATCCATCTTCCTACAAAGGAAGGTGCTGGTGTTCCATCAAAACCTACTTTGGAACCACTGTGTCATAGGCCAGCCCTACTCAGACAAGTCTGGTAGGTCAGGTTCGAGGTTAGAACTAAATGAGGCACTTGTAGACCATCTAACATTTAACAAAAAGACATTTACCTAGCCATACTATGGAAAGGATAGTCAGCAAAGGTACAGCACTGGTTCAGGTAGAGAAAGCCCACCTCATCATCACCATACAAAAGCACATCTGGTCAGCAGAGTGTGGCGATACGGTGACTTGTACAGTATTGGGTCATCTGCTAATTTATAGGGATGCACTGACTCATTGTGAGCTAGTTTCTTTTGTAATCTTAGATGACTTAGATGACTAGGTAGAAGACTAGCAGTTTGAGCCTTGGGCCTTTAGATCAAGTCTTGAGAATAGTTTCCTTTTAGGGGAAAAAAGAAAAAAATAGCCTAGTTGAGAGAAAGAGAGAGATTTAAGGTTAAGATGTGTGTGTGTGTGTGTGTGTGTGTGTGTGTGTGTTTTGCTCCTACCGCATCCCATCCCTCTGTGGTAAGCTCCTAACAGTCTTTCAAGGACCTGCCTCTTAAATGGTTTTAAGAGCCATCACTTGAAAGCCCTGAACTCAGAAATACAAGAAACCTAGCATAAATAGCATTGGAAGAGGAAATTAGTTCAAGTTTTAAAAACAACAACCACAAAAAGCAATTTGATAGTCCCCTTTCATTCACTGAAGGAATGAATGGAGGAGAGGGAATGAAGACCGGAAATTCCAGGCTTTGCCTCCTCCCTTCAGAAAGACCAAGTTCTAAATTTGATGCTAGGTCATCATTGTTCACAGTGGGTCCTAGTGTAAAGTTGTGACAGTTAGCAAGAGCAGAGCCAGTAACATCAGAGTTATAGCACATACGATGATGACACTTCTGTCACAATTAGCAGTTCTCATCATAGGTCAGAGTAACCAAAACCCTTTTGCATGCCACTTGTCTTAGTGCCATTGCTGATAAAGGAAACTTTCCCTGTACCACCACCCTGCCAATGTTCCCCCGCTCACCAACCAGGAAATCCTCCTCCCTTAGCTTGGGATTGGGACTGATTAAAGAAAGGGATGGTGGTGCCTTTTTAGAAGCCTCTGCCAAAGGGGCAGCTAGGTGGTGCAGTGGATAGAGCACCTCCCTGGAGTCAGAAGGACCCGAGTTCAAATCAGGTCTCAGATCAGATACTTCACACTTAAACTAGCTGTGTGACCCTGGGCAAGTCACTTAACCCCAATTGCCTTGCAAAAATAAAAATAAAGAAGCCTCTGCCAAGTGGCTACCTCCTTCTTTTACAGGGGCATTAGAGTCTCCCTCCTTTATCCAGGAATTTGGGATGGTCATCAAGTCAGCTAAGGGTTCTCCTTTCTTCCATGGAAATACACATATCCCATACTTTGCATAGTTTTACCTTTCCCATGTGTCCTCCCAACATTATCACTCCTTCATCCCCCAAACCCCTTTTTTTGGGAAGGAGTGGGTCTTAACCATCCTGGAGGGAAAAAGACCTGCAAATTGAGCGCTAACTGAGCTATTTCCCCATGGTGTATGGGGCTCTCAGTCTAGGAAAAAGCTTTGATAACTGCATTTGCGGTGAAATAAGGAAGAGTCAAAGAAGGTCATTCAGAACTATGTTCAAAAGTAATCCGTCTTTATCAGGTAGGTCTTTCTGGAGTCTGAATCTGATAAATTATGGCACCAAAGAGCCCTCTCCCTTCCTAAGGTGACATTGCCTCATAGAAGACATAACTTCTGGGAAGTGAGACACTTGGTATTGGTGGACATGATGACAAAGTTATTGTTCAAGAGGGTTGAACCTCCTTCCTTGAGATGGGGGATGAGGGCCATTTTGCCACTTGAGGACAGATTGAGGACCATTCAGGATAGATAGGTGCTCTGTAGTTGGCATGAAGAGCCCCGTTGGACCGAAATAATTGCCATAGCCCCAAGCCATGGAACTTTGACACAGAGAGGGTCTCCAAATTTGCTCCACTGGACCATACCCTCAACAACCCTTATTCCAGTAACACTTCAGGTTATTGTTTTAAATTCTTCTGCAACTTCCCCAGTTCTTTGGTGACAAAAGAACACCTACTCTTCAGCCTCCCCTTTAAATGTAGCACTCGGCCATCTCCAGTCGTCCTGATCTATATCTTGCCACTGGACCCAGATACCTCTGGAGGAGAGTGAGGCTGGTGACTTTGCATAGCCCTCCTTCACTTAAATCCAATTCACTTGCAAGTCATGGCATCATTCCTGATGTCATGATCTGCTTCGAAAATGAAGGACAAACCATAACACACAGCAATAGATGTAACAATAAAGAAATCCCAAGGCTGTCTTATTGCAGGGGCAGATTCCCAGTTCTTACCTTTATTTCCTTTCCCATTCTCTTATAGCCCTGATCTCACTGCTAAGGAGGCCGGTGGTCTAGACCTAGGCGAGTCACTTAACTCCAATTGCCTTGCAAAAAAAGAAAAACAAGTTTTCTGTCTCTAGTTGCTGAATGCATTGGGCCAATTTACTTTGATTTTCCTTGTGTCAGAAATCCAGCTTCTCTAAGACTGTTAACAATAACAAGGGACTGTTCAACCTGATATTTTCTTTATCCTCCATATCAGCCTCCTTAGCATCCACTGAGCTAATTGCTTTAGGTCATTGGGAGCCTTCTTTCTGTCCCATTGGAGGACTGGCCATATACCACCAAAAAGACGCTTGCCACTGGGTTCCACACTGCCATATCTAGCCATCTAGTCAATCCATTCTCTACATGTACTTAATCCTTTCCCCACTATAGCCATGATAATAGTTTACTCCATTCTTGCCTTCACCAAAATGTTGTAGGCTGGGCTTGACTGAAACCAGTCTGAGGGGTTCAGGTTCAAGTTTGGAATTAAATGAAGCGCTCGTGGATTACAGTTAACAAAAGAAGGCGTACTTAGGCCTAGCAAGGAAAAGATACTCAGAAAAGATATAACACTGGTTCAGGTAAATACAGCCCCCCTCATGCCTGTGCAGAAATGCATCTAGCTGGTTGGCAGGGTGTGGTGGATATGCATGACATCCAGCATATCTGAGGGGCACTGACTCCTTGTGGGTATGCTGCTTTTATCCCTTAGGGAGCTGTGTCAGTGACTTGAACTTTAGGCCTCCAGACTGATCAGGTTTCAAGATAATTGGCCTTCTGAGGGGAAAAAAATCCTAGCCTAGCCACATGGTAAATACTGCTCCTACCTACTTATTAACCATTACTGGCTTCTGAATATGTCACCTGTCTTATTAGTCTATATAAAAGCAAACTCTTACTCCCAACAGAATTGCTGTATTATTGTGTGCTTCTGATCATGGGTTCACAGTTAAATCATTTTGAGCCTATGGACTTCAAAATCAAGGATTTAATCAAACCAGCTTTGCTATTTGGACTTTATGTGGGATCTAAATCTCTTTTCTCTTGAAACAAAGCCCTCTACAAACTCTGACCTGACAAGAATGGAGACAGAGACTGAGAAGGAAAGGGAGAACAACGGGAAAGGGGAAGAGAGAAAAAGGACTCAGGATGGGATTCAGTAAAGATGTAGTTAGGAATTTCGAATAGCTTAGACCCACAGAGTTAGAGAAGACATTTCAGAAAGGGTTCTTTGTCTCTGCCTTGCCCTAATTTTTGTTCATCCCTGCTACAAAAGTTCTGATTTATTCAGATCCCTATAAAGGCCAGTGTTCACCAAACCCTAGATTCTGTTGATAGAAAACAACATTATAGAGACACAGTGGTTGACATTGTGGGCAGGGGAATGCAGAGTGAGAGCCAGCTAAGAAACTAGTGGCCTTTAAAATCTGGAGAAAAACAGAGAGAGAAAGAGATGATTTGGGCTTCTCAGTCTTCTCTCCCAACTTCCCAGCCCCATACCCAATGAAATAGCCCAGAGCAATGTCTGCTAAACTTGTTGAATACAGTTCCTCATGGTCTTAAGTGGAGAGAAAAGAGGGAAGAATTTCAGAATCTTTCCCATTTTGTTAAGTGCCATGACTGTCATCCCTTTTTGCTTATTTTTGGGTGTCACACTCCAAAACTACCTACCTAGGACTGAAAAGCAATCCTGTGTATGTTGGTGGTCTAGAGGCATTAATGGGACAATCAGGAATGCAGACAAGACAGCTGATGTCTAGACCTGGGACCCTGTGCTGCACTGGTGTCTCTGATAGAGTTTAATGACTGATGGGCACAGTTTGATGTCTTTAGTGCCTGGCCTTTGCTTTTGTTGCTGATATTCAGGAAATTTGAGGCCAGCTCACACTGTCAAATTGTATTTCTTCTCTCTACCTTACGGCTCCTAAAAATATCCTTTTAACTCTGCCAGGCTTTACTGCAGTCCATGATGGTTAAGAGAGAGAGAAAGAACAGAGCAGAGGGGGGAGGGAAAAGGAGAGGTCCCAACCCTGTGCACTTAGCGTATAGTTATGCTAATATCTAAAAACCACCACAACATCAGAATCCTCCTGATCTGTACGTTGGATGAATAGAGAATAAGCTTCTGGTCAGAGACCGTACAGTGACTGTTGAGTTATCCCGTTCTTGAAGGGTGTTTGGTGGCTGTGACTGATGACCATGAAAATTGAGTCACATAGAGTGGTTTTATAGCCCCTGTTTCACTGTTTGACAGAATGTGACTCTTGCATTGGGTTTATCTTAGTACATCATTTGTTATTAACAGCCAGCAGCTTAGGTAAGTTTGACTGTGCCCTTACTCTGAATTCTTTTCATAGTGATTTTTTTTTTAAGTCTCAGATTTGTTTCAGTTCAGCAAAACCATCACTATGCAATAAGGTGTGATGCTTCATGCTAGAAATAGAGTCAAAATCAAAAAGTTTCTGCCTTTAGGGGGATTACCTTCTCCTATGGAGATTACAGTATGTGTACAGATAAGTAAACACAAGGTCCCTCATATGGAAGATATCACTAACATCTGGGAGACTCAGAGAAGGCTTCATGGAGGAGGTGGCACTGAGCCTTGAAACAAAAATAAGAATTTTGAGAGACAGAGATGAGGAGAGAAGCACATTGTCACCAGGGGGGTGGCTTGTACAAATTCATGGCTCCCAATATGGAATATAGGGTTTGGGTACAGCTAGTTCAGCCTGGCTATAATAAATGAAGGGAAGCAATGTGATCTAGGAAGGTAGGTTGAAACTAGAATATAGAAGGCCCAAACTCCAGATTCATGAGCTTAATTAACAATATGTTCTTTAGTAAGTAGAGAGATCAAAGCAGTTTATCTCTGAAGAAAATATTAAGCCAACCTGGGGGCCAGAGTAGCAACCTAAACCCTGGTGTTTGATTCAAGGCTAGCAATAGGCAGGCAGTCCAACTGGCCTCCCCCACCTCCTACCACAGATGTGTTCTTGCTGTAGTTGTGGGGGTCCCGTCAAATACCCTGAAAACAAATAACAGGATCCTGGTTTGCCCTTCCTTCTAATCCCACTCCATCCTGCCCCTTATTTGAACAGTGTATGATCCTTTTCATGGGAGGTTGTTTTTGAATAACATGGACAGATTCCTGCTACAAGTACCCCATTGTCCAAGGCATTCAGAGCAGGACTGAAGTCACTGCAGTGCTTAATGGCTGTGGAGGGGTGAGGGGGAGCTTACGGCCCCTGGGGAGAATTGGTCATTTTTGGTCTACAGTTCTTCCTCACTGTGGTCAAACCTTTTGTTTTCTAGAAGATGAAGTAGGAACTCTGGCATCAAGTATTTTTTGTTTGTTTGTTTGTTTTGTCACTTTGACATATGCAGGTGCCCTGGAAAACTGGCCTGGGCTGTGGTTATGATATATGGTATAGAGAAGTTTCATCTTCCAGATCCTTCTAGGCATTTGAATGCTACCTTTGGGAGCAAGGACTCAGATTGTGATGTTGCATCTCTGTTTTCTCCATAGCCTCCTTCTCTGAGAGAGTCAGGAACATGTCTCCTGATGAGATTAAAATCCCCCCAGAGCCACCTGGCAGATGCTCGAATCACCTCCAGGTAGGAGCAAGGTTTGGTTACACACACACTCACTCTCTCTCTGTCTCTCTCTCAGTAGCAAAGGAAAGGCTGTGTCGTCAGGACTCTTCCTCTTTTCCCTGCCTCCCCCTCTTGAGTAGCTCTGACAGAAAAAAAGGGATTGTTAAAACCTGGGTTCAAATCTTGTCCTTAGATGCTCACTCATAGAGTGATCCCAGGCACCTCCTTTCCCCTGTCTTTGCCACAATTTCCTCATCTTACAAATGAGGGGGTGGGACTTGATGGGCTCTGAGGTCCTTTCCAGCTCTCTTCTATGATCCTGTGATAAGGAAACCAGAGCAAATGAGTGGCTAGCCCTGGAGCCCAAGGAGGGCTGTAGTTCAGTTTCCACTAGGCACCGAAAGTGTGTGCTGTTGTCCTGACAAAGGGCAACTTACGGGGTCTGGGACTAAGGAATGCAGCAGGCTGATGTGAGGGTCCTCTGACAGGGCTGGGTACTCAGGAAATAGGGGTATTTTCTTCCTTTCCCTGAAGTCTCCACCCCATGCTGAGTAGGCCTTCCACCCACCATCCCACAGGATGGAGGCTCCCTCTATCCCAGCAAGCCAGGCAAGCTACAGCATGTAGTTAGCAACTCCAGCAATCTGTCAGGCAGAGAGAACGCCAAGGAGCTTGACTCTTCTAGCCAGTAATTTCCTTTTTTCTTTCTAGACTGTCTTAACAGTAAAGTCAGTCAGTGGCCCTGAGAACGTTTTCTTTCAGCTGAACTGGCACAATTCCAGTGACCCAAGACAGAGATGTCCTCTGTGGGGAGTAGGTTTGCCTTTGATCAGATTGTAGAGGCTTCTCTTTGAGGAGAAATCGACTCTCAAAAAGTAGTTGTTTTTTTTTTTTTTAAGGAAATGGATTTAGAAAGCCATTTATCACTCTTAGCTTCTCCCTGCTGATATTATAATAGACTTCTCTTTGCCCCCCAAATGCTACCTCAGTTCCAAAAATCTTCAGAAAGAATGGAACATGAAAACACTGCTGTCCTGTCCCTGAATGGAATCTTACTTGATCAGTTATCTTTATCTTTACCCACTGCTTCTTTCTGAGAGGTAGTAACTGACTCAAGTGTTTCATCCTCTAGAAGCTGTGTAAAGTTATTTCCACTGGACTGGAACCAGTTACCATACATTACACAATTATAGCTTGGAATATTAGGAATTTGAATATGCGCAGCCACTTCAGGGGATTCCTTATTCATGCCAATCAGGATTTGGCTGTGTTTAGTTTCTCCATGGGGCAATGTGGGCTTTACATTTTGAAGTTTAGTAGGTTTCTCTACCCTTTGTCCCCCACCCCAGAATCAGATTTCTTAGGAACTCTCTCCTGGCACTAGACTAGACTGATACATTGGCTGATAATGTAGTGTACATGGGTGTGTGCTGGGTATGCTTCCCCCAAAGAAAACATTGCAGATGATAGCAGCATGCCAACCAGGCTCCCAGCCATATTGTCCTTTCATTACTCTCACAAAGGCTCCAGCCAGGGTAATGTAGGAAAGTCGTGATGAGAGATGAGTACATGACCCTTGTCTGAGAGGTTATGTGACACCCCTGAGAACCCTCCAGCAAGCTACTTTAGAAGGGTCTGGAACCCAAACTAAATGCTGTAGGCACACTCCTCCAGTGGGAAGTGTTCGGGCCCTTTCAGGCATCTGCAGGTCACACTTGAGCCATTCAGTGAGGGTTTAATCCTGTTCTTTCCATTAAGACCTGGATTTTATCTTTACAGAAAAGCTTTGATGTTTTATGAGTAATTCAGGAAGTAGTTAACCAGTTTGCAGGTTCTCCAGGCCTCCTTCCCAATAGTTTTTCTGGCTTTGACCATTTCAGTGCTCTTAGTACTTGTAGTAGAAAGCCATCTGGAAAAATTAAAAGAAGATACAGTCAAACTAATCTGTCTCCTTTCTTGCAGGAACCACTGACAAAAGGTTTGGTGGGATATAGGTTAAAACTATGACTGAAGTTAAATTTTTTTAGATAGTTCTATGAATTTTGTTTATATGGCTTTCCCTCCCCTCCCCCCCCTCGGCCTCCTTGACCATAAGCATAATTGAAATGGTGGAATTACATGTCATGACAGGTTTTTGTACCCTTTCTGTAGGACAAGATACAGAAATTATACGAGAGGAAGATAAAGGAAGGGATGGATATGAACTACATTATCCAGAGGAAGAAGGAATTTCGGAATCCCAGGTAAGCTTCCCTGGTGCCCAGAGAATCAATTTTTGCTTCTGTCCTAGGAGGGGAGTTCATCAAGATGGCTTGTGTGATCCAGTTAATGGTGGAGAAATGGTACAGAAAACTGTAAGGAGCCCAGCTGAGATCCCAGCTTAACACCAAATTAGTCACTGTCACCAGTCTTAATGTTAAAATGCATGTGATACTTCATTAGGAAACCTACAGAGTGCATTGATACAACTTGTATCCTCTAAGGATTCACGATAAAAAATCTTACTGTACTACTACTAATCAAAAACTTGTGTGTTGATAGCAAAAAAGAAAAACAAAAAGCATTGGACCTGGATCAGGAAACCTGGCTTCTAGTCCTGGTTCTATTACAACTTAGCATTGTGGCCTTGAACAAATCATTGCCCCTCTTTAGGCCTCAGTTTCCCCATCTATAAAATGAGAAGGTTGAGCTAGCTCTTTTCTGAGGTCTCTTCTAGCTCTTAAGGTACAGTGATTAAGTGAACAGGTGAATGGGTAATGCTTTTTTGGACCAGAGATGTGCCTGGGCCTTGCTTCTACCCAGTTGGTCGTGTAAATAACACCTTTGATGGAACGTGATATAGTAACATCAAGATCTACCTTTGAGTATATAGCGGCTCCAACCCAGTCCCCCAGATTGGAGGCCAGAGACATATGATTAAAGTATGAAAGTATAACCTACCAACTCGATACTAGACTTGTTCAGACTGCCTACTCCCACTTCCAGTCAATAGTCTGATCCCTATCATAACATTGGGATGACTAGAAAGGACCAGAGGTGACTTTTCAGATTGGTGGATTTTGTGGTTGAAATTTTTCTTTAGAAATCTTTCTAAGAGCATATTGGTTGGGTTTTGCTGCGCTGGTATCACAACAGCTCAGGAATTAGAAGAGGTTGGTTCTGGGTGATCTGTTGGGGTTTTACTTATCATGATGGGTACTCAGATCAATTTTCTGTGGCATGTTTGTTTCAGCATCTATGAGAAGCTTATCCAGTACTGTTCAATTGATGAGCTTGGCACCAATTATCCCAAGGTAAGAAGCAAAGCTCTGCGGGTATAATGTTGCTGGCAGCATAGAGAACTCCTCCTTAAAGATGTATTCCATCCTAGGCCAGACAAAGTCCTTACTTCTCACTGCCCATGTAAACTACCCAGACTTAAAGATAAAGACTCCACCTGAATAACCACCATAGCACCAGTTATGTCAGAACTGAAAATTACACCTCTTTTGTTACGGCAGACTAACTAAGCTTCACTAAGTGGCACACTGGACAGAGGGCCAAGCCTGGAGTAAGGAAGACTCATCTTTCTGAGTTCTAATGTGGCCCCTGACACGTAGTAACTGTGTGACCCTGGGCAAGTCACTTAACCCTGTTTGCCTCAGTTTACTTATCTGTAAGATAAACTGAAGAAGGAAATGGTAAACCCCTCCTGTATCTTTGCCCAGAAAACCCCAAATGGGATCACAAAGAGTTGGCTATAACTGAAAAACGACAGAATAAAAACCTGGGCTTAGGCTCATAAAGGATCCTGTCCATGCAAGATCATGTCCCATAGGGAATTATACTGACAGTCATGAGTTGACTGCTGAATTCCAATGCTTATCCAAAAGCCAAGAGGCTAATAACTGGTACAAGAGAGGATTTTAAGTCTAAACTGAGTAGGGAAATATGCTTTGGTTCCTACTTCATACTCCTAGTCAAAAGTATGTTAGCATGAAATCTAACTGATTAGAAGTATAACTCTCTCTTTTTCAGGATATGTTTGACCCCCATGGATGGTCTGAGGACTCCTACTACGAGGCTCTAGGTATTTTCAGAGGATGTATTTGGGGGACTGGGGAAAGTTTATGGGAACTTTCTTTTTATCATTGACCCCACTGGAGTATATGAGGTATCCTTAGCAGTAGGATCTTTAGTTCAGAGGGTATAGATATTTTAGTCACAGGCAGGTGGGTGTTACCTAGGTGTCACAGTGGATAAAAAAGACTGGACTTGGAGTCAGGAAGACTTGAGTTCAAATCTGGCCTCAGACCCTTACTAGCTCTGTGACCTTGGGCAAGTCATATAACCTCTGTGTACCTCAGTTTCCTCAGCTATAAAGTGGGGATTATAATAGTACCTACACCCCCACCTCACCTCAGGGTTTTTGTAAGGATCAGATGACATAATTTGTGAAGTGCTTAGCACAATGTTTGGCACATAGTAGGCGCCTTGCTCCCCTTTTTTAGCATGATTCCATGTTGTTCTCCAGAATAGTTGGAGCATTTCACAGCTCCACCAATAGTGTGATCCTGAACAAGTCAGTGTGTCTGGCTTCCTGTGGTCCTCCAGCAATTGACCATTCCAGTCTTTTCTCATCTTTGCCACTTTGCTAGGTATGAGGTGAAACCTCAAAGTTGTTTTGATTTTCATTTTTCTTATTATTTGTGATTCAGAGCAATCTTTCTTATGGTTTCAATAGTTTTTAATTCTTCTTTTGAGAACTATTCATATTCTTTGACCTCTCATCCATTGGGGTATCACTTTTAGTCCACTTAGATTCTCTATTATGTCTTGGATATCAAGCAGTTGTCAGATTTTTGATGCCAAATTTTTCCCCATTTGATTGCTTTCCTTCTTACTTGTGTTAATTACATTTGTGCAAAAGCTTTTCAGTTTCAAGTAATTGCAAATGAACTGTTCTCTGTCTCAGTTTCCAGATCCATAAAATGGGGATAATATAGTACTTGCCTCCCAGGGTTGTTGGGAGGATTAAAGAAATAACATTTGTAAGGTGTTTTGCAAGTGCTAGCTATTTTTTTATTGTTATTTTTGTTAGTATCTGTTTTATTATTCGTGATTGCTGCTGACCCTTGTTTGGTTAAGAATTTATACCTAGCTGTAGTTATGATAGGTACCTGATCTGTTTTGTAACATGTTGGTCTAAATCTAGATCAGTATGACAAACTGCTTTCATATTTTCTTAGTAATTCTTATCAAATAGGGAATTCCTCTAAGAGAAATGTAAAGTGTCCAGACAGAAGAAAATCTTCTCTTTAGCTAATGGGGAAGGGAACATGAGAAATACAGGGGCCATCATGGTTGACTTCCTCCTTTTATGATGAAGCCATTGCTTTATGAATCTCTGGAGAGGGGGTACAGAGGAGGGTAGGCTCAACTCATGAGAAGGGTCAGAGTTTCTTTTTTGACAGTTTTGTTTTTTGTTTTTTAGCCAAAGCACAGAAGATTGAAATGGACAAATTAGAAAAAGCCAAAAAGGAGAGAACAAAAGTAAGTGACAAAAACCATGGAGACTTGATGATAGAAAAGGTGGATAATTGAAGTACCGGGTACTCGTGCTTAAGGAAGGAGGTTCCCCCCAACTTCAAGATCTTGGCCTGGGGAATACTGTTTGTCCCCCCCCCAAGAAGACATTTCTATCATCTAACTATGTAGTTAGCTGGTTTAGTCCCTCTCTGAGGCCAAACAGTGTTTGCTGAACTTCCATCCTTTGCATCCTTGGCCCTGCCTTTCCTCTGTTTTTTCCCCTTCTCTATCATCTGTTACCTTGATACTTTATCCTTTCTTTCCTACATACTACTTTCAGGTCCCTAGTCAGCTTTGTCCTCAACAACATTTCCCCCATAGTTTTAGATCCCAGCTACCTCTGAACCTTAAGCCTTCTCCAGTTAGTTAAACCTCAAGAATTTGCCCTCACCTCTCCCACTTCAGTGCTACTTTCTACTCCCCAGCCTGGTTAGTTGATCCCTTGTTTTAAGAGACCAGCTTCCCTCTGCAGCTCTATATGTTGGGCATATAGGGCTGAGTGAGTGATTATTGTCCTATGAGGCCACTTTGTCTTGAAGGAAGAGAGAGGGACAATGAGGGTCATCAACCCCCTCTTGCCTTTGATTGGGCCTGACCCCTCCTGTGCTATCAATAGTAATGACTCCAGCCCCAGTGGGCCTCCTTCCATTCCCTAGGACTAAGGAGCTGTGGCTCTTGGCCTTGTTAGTATACTTCTTCAGGCACTGTTTTGGGCCAGGCATGTGGGGACTGGTGTTGGGGAATGATCTGATTTTCTCTTTCTTAACACTTGATTGAATTTCCCTTCTCTCTCTCTCCCTCCTCCCCCTTCAAACCTCAGGCTTATTGCAGGGACGTGTCTGCAGCGCCTGGGGAGGTGACCGGAGCTGTCCTTCCCCTGTGCAGGCACCACCTCCTCCTGGGTGTGAGGAGGAGGGGCCTGGCCAAATGGTTCTGGGCATGTGAGGTGGGGCAGTGCGGGAGGGAAGTCTGGGATTTGTGCAAATACATGACAATGGAGAGAGGGGAACTGGCTTCTATCCAGGAAGTTTTTTAAACCTAGTTTAAAAAAAAAAAACCCTTAAGGCTAAAACTATTGATATCCTTAGACATCACTCCCTGCCCCCAGCCAAACATTGCCAGTCAAACCAGAGCTGATTATCAGTGTCTCCTTTATTCCACAATTCGAAAATCTTGTCCCCTGGGAGCAAATGGATTACAAGAGAGGACATAAACAGATAGCTTGCTACATCTCTCATTCTTCCTCCCTTTCCCTTTCTAGATTGAGTTTGTGACAGGCACCAAGAAGGGCACCACGACCAATGCCGCTGCCACTACAACCACCACAGCCAGCACCGCAGCGACAGGTAACAAGGAGCTTTCCTCGCATTCTCCAAGACATTGAGGCCCCCTGCCCCCTGATTCGCCAAAGAGAAAATTAGAGAGGCTTATTGAGGGCGCAGGGTCACCACGATCCCCAGATAATGCTGGGAACCTGGGTGTGACCCAGCCTGACCAGTGTTGGGGACACACAGCCTATGGCTGGAGCAAGACAGTGAGGTCTTTCTGGATCACACAGGGCAGGTCATCTGCATGGAAACAGAGGATTGGTTTTTGTGTAGTATGCGTTTAGACGTTTTCTCTTTGGCTTTTCATCTAGATGCTCAGAAGAGAAAGAGTAAGTGGGATTCTGCTATCCCGGTGACGACAATAGCCCAGCCTACTATCCTTACCACCACAGCCACCCTGCCAGCCGTTGTCACTGTGACAACAAGTGCTAGTGGCTCCAAGACCACCGTCATCTCAGCCGTGGGCACCATTGTGAAGAAAGCCAAGCAGTGATGGACCTGCTGCAGGGTTGGACATACTTCTTGTTGAAGGACAGGAAATGCTACCCCAGGACCTTGCCAAGACTGTGACCCCAAGATGTGGAGTGCCCCTTTGGACACAGCAACCCATGCAGTCACTGGACTAAGGCTTTCCAAAGAGCTTCCCATCAACTGGAGATGGATTTCTCACGATCCTCACAAAACATTCTCTTTCTAGTCCTGGTGAGAGAATCTGTTGCCGAGTCATCCAAAAGGACCCTTATTGCCAATCCAGGGCAGTACAGACTGCTTTCAGCCATGTTAATTTGGCATCTATTGCTCTATTAAAAGTGCTATATCAATATAGCCCAGCATCCCAGGTAGTTTCTTGTTCTACAGACTCAGTCCTTAAACAAATGTGAAATTTTGCCCTGGAGGCTTTGATGACAGAGCGAGCGGGCGGGGCAGCATTTGTGCTCCTATAGTATATGTGGGGAGGAGGGATTCATGCAGAGGGAATGGCTGAGTCCAAGGCACTGGTAGGGAGAAGAGTGGCCAAGGAATTTTCTATAGACACAACTGAAGCTAGTACCTAGTACCCTTTCCACCTTTAGTAGTAGGGTTGAGGATAAAGAGGAAAGTATAGCAGAGAGCGGGTACAGAGCCAACTACCCTTCTGTCATTGGATACCCTGAACATTGAACCTTGTCAAGGAGCTATTCCTGTTATTCCCCACCCTTTTTTCCTCTCTTTCTCTCTCTCCTCTCTCCACCTGTGGGGGATGTATAGAAACTCCCCCGGCCACTTCTCAAGTTCACAGTAAGTTAGGCTTGCCAATTGTGGGTCAAAGTTGTTACTGACTGGTCAAGTATAATTTGGGGGAGGTGGGCTTGGTTTGGTAGAGCTCTGGTTGAAGGGTGTGGCATTCTCTCCATTGCTGATACTGCTCTCCCAAGCCCTTTGGTACCTAGTGTGCTCCTGGCCTTTCAGTCTCTAAAGTAGCCTGAGAGATGAATCACCTCCGCTGTGGTGGGGTAGTTGTTCATTGTTTACATAAAAGTATCTCGTGTGAGAATTCCTAGCCGCCCCACCCTTCCTCTCCCCTTGTTATCTCTGCCCTACAGCCACCTCTAGAGCTGTTCCCTGTTTTAAACTAGGTTTCCCAGCCTAATCCCAGAGGGAAATCTTTTATTTTTATTTTTCTCTCTGGTAACTAAGCTTTGCACTTTGCGGGGAAAGCTGAAGCGAAGGAAACTACGTTGTGAAGAACAGTATCATTTCCATGATGCAGAGAGCCCTGCTTAAGGCCTGGGTACTTTCCTGAAGCAGGTCTCATGCAGTACTCAGAGCCAGAGCCTTGTTAGGCACCTCGACTCTAGTTTCTGACTCCCCGTCATTCTTCCCCCATTCAGCTGGCCCCACATGCTCACTTGGCATGTACCAGCCTGGCCTGGAACTCTCCCTTGAAGAACCGATCCAGCTGAGCACCCCTGTCTGCCTTGCCTTGTGTGACTTGACTCGTCTCATCGTTCAACTGCTACCTTGTATGAAGGCCAGCAACTGTAATGGTAACTGCCCTTCCAAGCTAGCTAAGTGTGTGTAGACCACCATTATCTGTGGTATTTGGGGGCAATACAAAAAGGCATTGCCCACAAGGACAGTTCACAGGCTTTGTAATGAGCATGAAACCTTGCCGACTGTCTTAGCTTGAGTTGCATTCTTGGTATTAGATATGGGTCGGTATCTTGCAGATGTGGTTGCCTGTGACTTTTGGGTATCTATAATTGAGGTCTAAAAACAGAGTCAGTGTCTTCCCCTGTGTCCACCATTGAGAACATTAGGGGATTATGGGCTTCATTAAGCATTTGACTGAGGCTCCACTCACGGGAATTCAGAAGCCCCCTGTAAGTCTATTTGGCTCCAGTTATGTATTCCATGTGCCCAGGAAAGACCCAGACCAAAACCTGAAATCCAGATACCATCTCCACATACCAGAGACAACAAATAAAGAGGTAGTGTCTGTCCCTCCCCAAACTTCCCCCACATACATGATTTCCTCCTATCAGACTTTGTGACAAGGGTCTAGCCCTGGAGAGACAACTGTGCTGCTGCCCACCTTGCCCGGCCCCAGGAGGATCACAGAATTTTAGAACTGGAAAAGGCCTTACAAGTCATCTAGCCCACTTCTCCCATTTTACAGATTAAGCAGCAAAAATGCAACTCAACATTTAATAAGCAGTGTTAGGCACTGGCAGGGATACAGAGACAAATAAAGCTGTGGCTCTGCCCTCTAGGAATTCATAATCTTATGGGAAAGATAAAAGAGTCAAATAAGAATAACCTACATTAGGATTTGTGTTAAATGTGTGAGAGGTATTTGAACAGAAGGGTTATGTAATCAGAGCTGTACATTAAGATTTTCTGGTAGCAGTGTCCTTTGGGGAGAGGAGAAGTTGGAGGCAGAGGCCGCTTAAAATCCTATTGATAAGGTGGAGAAAGCAGGAGGCAATGAATCCAAGCCTGATTTAGGGAGGCGACAATGGAAAAGGAACGGAGCAACAGAAAAGGATGTATTGGGATAGATAGACTAAACAAGGGAGGCAGGTAGGGCAAGAGAATGAATGATGGTGTCAGGCATGACAAGTTTAGACCCTGGGTGGGGAGTCTGAGGAAGGTTTTGGGGGAGTGCCTTGCCAAGTTCTAGGGAAGCAGAGGTGTTAAGTATAGCTATGTCTTTGTACCTACGTGCCAGTGAAAGGGATGACAGTAGCTTAAGGGTATAACAGAATTCAGGGAACGATCTTTAGAATAAGGAGGAAATCCGAGGCATGAAATGGAGTGAGGGAGTTGCTAAAAATGGAGACTAATGAAAGCAAAGAGTAAGGACAGATTTGGGAGCTCTAAGGAGTAGAGTTGAGGGAGTTCACATCAGATGGCTCTGATAGTAGGCAAGGCCATCTGCTATTAAGAGTAGAAGAGTTGGGGAAAGGAGGAAGCTTTATTAGTTTGGTGCTGTTGGCACGGGGAAGGCTTTTAGGACTAAGAATGGAGATACGGCAGTGAGCCCCCATCTGAAATTCCAGTGGCATGGGTGTAGGATAGATTGAATCAACTTGCTTTCGTTATTTTCTAGCAGGGCTTGTCAGCCCTGCCTGGAGCAGACCAGGAGAAGGATTTGTATGGTGTATGGGAAGAGAGAGGAAGGTCAAGAGGATGAAAGTTTCAAGGGTGGATAAAAGTACATTGTTGAAATGATTGACCAGGAGGTCAAGAATGGGTAGGAAGGCTAGTGAAGCCAGAACACTGGTGATGAACTGAGAGAGGGAGGGGCCCACCCGAGGAAGAGAAGTCAGAATTGGGGAACAGCAGGAGCAGTGAGAGTGAGGGTGTGTGAGAGATTAGTGAGAGGGCAATTTCAGAGTTCAATGTCTTGGAGATGGAGCACTTCCCAGGGGAATTCTAAGGTGTGGCTTTGAATCTTCAACTGCCTACTGGAACATTTCCAACTGAATGTCCCATAGGCAACTCAAACTCATCATCAAAAAAATGCCTTCCCTATTTCTATTGAGGACACCACCATCCTTCCACTGCCCAGGTTGGCAGTCATTCTTGACTCTTCACTCCCTGTTCCCAGTCAGCTGCCAAGTCCTATTGATTCTGCCTCCACAATCTCTTGCATCTGGTCCCTTTCTGTCTCCTCCCGTAGCCACCACCCTGGTTCAAGCCCTCATCACTGCTCCATCATATGATTGTAGTAGTTTCCTTCTTAGCTGGTTGTCCTGCCTCTAGTCCGTCATCCCCTTTCCAAGCTGCCTGACGCACAGTGGCCAAATTGACATTCCGAAAGCCCAGGTCTTCAGCAGCAGTTCCTCATGCCTCTAGAATAAAATAGGAATTCTTCTGTTTGGCATTTCAATCCTTTCCCAATTTGGCTTCAGCCTATATTTTCAGATTTGTTCCTTGTTACTCCTCACCTCATGAGCTCTTTTGCAGCCAGGCTAACCTGCTGGCCTGCCCTGGCACCTGACATTCCACCTCCTGGCACCATACTGGAGGCACGCTTCGCCCTCCTTGGATGTTACCTCCACCAGGTTTTTCTCAATCTCTCCGGTTCAATGTTCTCCACCAAAAAAATTTGTATCTTTTGTATATCCTTTGTATTTACTTTTCTGTGTATATTTTATTATCTCTTCCCCCTCAGTAGAATGTAAGCTCTTTGGGGGCAGGGCCTGTTATTTGTCTTTGTATCCTCAGTGCCTAGCATAGTGCCTTACAAGTAAAATGAAGGTACTAAATGCTTACTAAGTTGGATTGAATTCTGCTGGGGGATGGCTATGAAATAAAGCTAGGAGTTGAAGGTTGAGAGATTGTGAGCCCAGTGTATCATCAATATGAATATTTAATTCAACATGTATTAATCAGTGTGGGCACTGTGCAAGGGGCTGAGGATGCAGTGAAGAAATAAGCATCCCTGCCCTGAAGAGGCTTATAATCTAGCACAGTAGGAACCATATCAGTATAATGCAAGTTAAGTTGATACAAAGAAGTGGTCCATAGAAAGTGCTATGAGGAACCTGAGGAGGGTATGATCATTTCCAGCTAGTGGATCAGGAAGGCTTGATAGAGGGGGTGGGACTTGAGTTGGGCCTTGAAGGAAAGGAAAGATTTCAACAGAGATAGACTGGGGAAGGGGGTAACCTATTGCAGGAACTGGGCATGCTATAAAGCTAAATGTGGAGCTACGAGAAGGGAAGGTCTAGATTAAGGTTTGCTTATTCTAGACCCCCTTCTGTCTCCTAGCAGAGAGATCAGAACTTGTTCAGATGCTGGGATGGATTTGGACACGGTATCCCCAGAAGCCAGCTGAAATCCTCAACACAGAAGTGTCTTTTATCTGGGATACATCAGTTCCCTCAAGAAGAGGGCCAACGAGGACAGATTGAGGAAGTTGAGGAAGTTCACATCAGATGGCCTTAGGAGCTAGGGAAGAAAGAGTCAGCTCACTGGACAGCTATTCACTTCAAGATCCACCATAGATAGACACTGCAAAGGATTCACGGAGCCACCAGTTCATTGCCTCTGATTCCCCTGTCAGGATCTGCCCCTGAACCTGGCCTGCACAAGCCATCTCCCTCAGGCTGCTTTCAGCATGCCGAACGATTTCCTTTATATACAAAGGAGGTTTTCCTCTATGTTTTTCCCAGGCCCTCGCCCCCAAATCCTTCCACATGCTGCAAGCCGGCAGATTGTGCAGACCAACAAGCATCTTAATAAGTTCCTACTATGGGCCCGCATGGTGCTAAGTGCTGAGGATACCAAGAATGGGGAAAAAAAAAAACCAACCCCTGCGCTCAAGGAGCTCATTC